GCAGTCTGGAGGATACATAAATAGCTGAATATTTTAATAATACTGTCATGCTAGTGTATACTGGTTACAAAATTAGGCCTATATATCTTATTGCACAATGTCTGGAACAAATTCAGTAACTCATATTAATGAATGAATGGACAGGTGTTTCCTCAGGTGATAAAGTCCCTAGTAAAGTTCTACTAATCCATAATTTGAATTCTATCAGTATTTAACTTTCAAGAACTTCATTCTCCTTACCAACAAAACAGAAGAAATAACAACTATCTTGCTAAGACTCAAAGGAGTACAAGAGGTAATAGGTGCAAACATTCTTTCACAAAAGCCTGTTCCAAAACCAAGACAGAGAGAGGGGGAGGGAAATAAGATTCAGAGGGGAAGGTCGTGAAGTCCTGTGTACATGTGCCAAGTACCTATGAGGAATGCGATTATCATGTACTACAGACATATGTAAGAATAATACATATACTTACATATATACACATATACACAAATACACAAACACACAGCAGAAAGGGTTCAAGAGATGCAGCGAGGGGGAGAGTGGGGTTGGAAGGGGTTTAAAGAAGGAATTAAGAAATGTCATATACATGTAACAACTCCCCATAATAAATGTAACCATTATATACCACAAACATGTACCAATAAAAACAAGAGATTACAAAAACACCTGTTCCTTTGATAATATGAGACAGTTCACAATAGTAAAGAAGGAAAAGCCACAGCAATTTATGAGTTGCATTAATTCACTGTCATATTTTTGTCAGCCATTGGCAGAAAAACGGGAAGAAATAAAATTTCAGACATCTTTACATATACATAAAGCAAGATGTACTACATTGAGATTAAAAATTGATATTTCATTTCTTTACTCAAACACTGCAAATATTTTATTTCATCTGAGATTTTCAGTGGCTATATGCAACCCATACACACAAGACAGAAAGTTTATCCCAGTCGCACAGTATTATCTTGAGCCATACATACACCCTATGCTATCCAAAATCAAGATTATAACATTCTGTTTTGTTTTGTTTTGTTTTTTTCCGGTACCGGAAATCGAACTCACGACCTTGCGCTTGCCAGGCAGGCGCTGTGCCGCTGAGCTAAATCCCCAGCCCCGACTATAACATTCTGTATCAAATAAACAGTTAACTATGTTTTAAAAATATTACCCCGCAGAACGAAATCACAATTTACTCTTTTATATACAACCAATCTGGCAAGCTAGCTACGTAAACATTTTAAATTCCCGTAAGTATCATTCTTACCTGGAAATTAGACTGAAACACACAGCAGTCAACACTTTTATAATGTCCCTTAAGCATAGTTATCTGTTCTCCTGAGTACACTGTATAAACAGCAATCGTGCTGCCATATGGTACAAAAACGAATTCTGAACTGCAGCCACAGGAAACAGTGAATTTCAATCCTTTTTTACTGTTGTTAAAAACTTTTCCATAGTTTACCTGTAGGATTAAAATCATAGTTACTCATTTCTTAAATCTAAATTTAAAAAAAAGGATTGAAATAAATACTTCCTTTAAAGATCAGAATCTTCTATAGAAATGTTATTAATTTTATTTTGAAGAGAATAAAAAACAATAAAAATGATACAGAATTTCAAAACAAGATGACAGGAAATGAATAATGGTTGTTATACTGTATATTACCTTCAAAGTAGTTCCTCAGATTACCGGATACAGGCATGCAAAATTCATCAAGCAATTAAGCATTAACTGTTTCTTTCAGTAAACCAATAGAAATTAGTAGTAGAATTATCTTAGCTATATTGTGTGTGTGTGTATATAATTTTCATCCTTCCCCTCTTTGTCTTTCTTTCTTTCTTTCTTTCTTTGTTTCTTTCTTTCTTTCTTTCTTTCTTTCTTTCTTTCTTTCTTTCTTTCTTTCACTCATTCATTCATTCATTCTTCTCCTTTCCCCCATTCCAGTTGTTCTTTCCTTTTCACGAGTTTCTTTCCCTTTACAAAGCCTGGTATTTTTATAAAATGCAGTATAATTATTGAGCTATAAAGAAAGATAAACTCGGGGCTTTTATAGGTAAATGGATGCAACCAGTGACCATACTCAAAAGTGAAATAAATGAGACTCGCATGTGTAAACATTGTATTGCCTCCCTAGTGTAAGAAACTGAAAGAAAGGTCATTAAATTTAAATGATATGTTAAGTATCTTAACAGAAACAAGGTCCAGTGACACGTGTACCTTTCATATAGGACAAAAAACAGTGGACAAAACACAAGGGCAGATGTTCATATGTCAATCTTAATAGAAATAAAAATGTAAATAAAGGCAATCTTCAACAATCATTTTAGACTGGCAAAAAAATGTTCTTAAGAGGTACTGAAAACTATGCTAAGCAAGTGTTGTATCACTAAACTACATTCTCAGTCCCTGGTTTGACAAACTTTAAGAAACATAAGACATTCAATACTGGCACCAGTGAGGCAAACATGTCAGCAGCATTACATTTTAGTTATTTTTCCTAAAAGGGCAAAACAGTTTATTATGCAACAATGTAGATATTCCCTTAGGGGAGTGAGTGCATTAGAAATAACCTCCTACTCCTTTTACTAAAAATTTAATTGTGGTTAACAACACAAATTTTTCCGTCTTAACCATGTTTAGGAGTCCAGTGCAGTGGCATTAGGTTCATTCACACTGTTGTGCAGTCATTATCAAGGTCCATCTCTGGAACTCTTTTCATCTTGCAAAACTGTATGCGATGAACAACACAGGTATTCTTATCCCTCAATGGAGTAATTGTTCCTGTACGCTAATGTTCAGAAAATAACTAAACAGTACAAACAGCCCTGAGAAATTACCTGAAAGGGCAGCATTATCTAAAAAGGAAAACAACTGAGAATGCATGTGTGTTCCTAATGTTATGTGAACTTTGTTTTAAAGAAATCATGTTATGAAAACTGCGCAGGAAATAAGGACACAGGCTAAGTATTAAAAAGCACAGAACGTAGTAAAAATGTGTGAACTATAATTTCAAATTAATGTAAATAACTATGCAAATGGGACAAATATTAAAATTCTACTCTCGTGTAGTCTGCAAGCTCAGTCACGATAAGCACTGCCAGAGCAGTTAGACATGCAGACTTCAAGGCCTCATCCCAATATTACTGAGGAACAATTTTTAAAAAAAAAATCCCCAGTGAACCTATATGTGGAGCAAAGTCTGAGAAGTTTTGATGTTGGAATTAAAGAAATGGACAGGTCCACTTCTCTCCGATAATTGAAACCTATAATTAATCATTTGGGATTTATAAATATATAGGTCACGAAAATCTTCTTCTGTGCCTAATATTAGATTTTAAATGGTGATTTTCATATTTTTCTTTTTCTAAAGGTCGGGTAGAGGTATGTGTGCATATATATACAAATAGAAACCCTGACCCCAAGTAGATATATGTAATAAACTGTGGGTATCATCCTTTAATATTTAACAGAAACAAGTGCACCACAGTAGCAGTGATATAAGCGGGTTAAACATTACATTTGCACAGTCAACAGACTTTGGGTTTTAAATCTATTTTTTGGGTCCAGTATGAGTAAATGATTTCACCTTTGAGTTTCATGTTGCTAAGATGTAAAACATAAATAACATTACTTATCATAGTTATTGTGAAAAAGCAGGTGACATAGTAAGTCTTTAAATTTATTAACTCCTAGGCACATTTAAAAGTTTAACATTCCCTCACTTGTATCTACTGACTCTACGTGTACAATAATTTGTAGAATGATATGGAGGGGGTAGAGACAAAACACAAAACACTTCTCAAATAAAACTATGTTCTAGCACTTATATGCTAATTATTATTGGTATTGTAGCTGTATGTAAACTATTGATAAATAGTAGCTGTTATTATTATCAAATTATAAACTTTTGTTAGCTTATTCATTAAGTTATTAAAGCACAGATATACCTGGTAAGGACCACAGCACACATAAATGTAAGTACTAGAAATTATGTCACTGGGAGAATCTAGCCTTTTAGAGTTAGGGGTGTGACTCAATGGGAAAGTGCTGGGCCGAATGTTTGAGGATGTGAGTTCAATCCCTAGCACTGCAAAAAAATAAATAAAAATAAAAAGCTAGCACTTTCAAAACATACTTATTCCAGTGTTCAATGAAGTGCTATATTTTCTAACATAATAATCTTCTGTGGTTTTGTTTATAAGTCATTTATACTATACAATTAAACTCTGTATAACTTTTATTTATAGCAGTAATTCTTAGTTTTTTATTCCTTCCCAAAATACCTGAGCAATATGAGATGCTACCCTTAGGATCGGCACCAGAGTAAAGAATCATTCTCCATTAAGTGAAAGGAATGTGGCAGGGGTGGGCTGGTGAGACATAGTGAGGAAATAGGTACTTTTAAGAAAATGGGTTGGGGATATAGCTCAGTGATGCAGCGCCTGTCTGGCAAGCATGAGGTGCTGAGTTTGATTTCTGGTGCCCCTACCAAAGGAAACAGCTATGCTTTAAATGCAATAAATAGAGTTCAATACATAGAGAAACATATCATACATCTATTTTTCACTGCATATCCAAATAAGTACTTAAAAATTGCTTACTAATGTATTTTCTCCACTGGAACTATTCCAGAGCCTCATTCGATTATCTGTACCAACAGTTAGTAGGTGAAGCCCATCGCTTGTAAAACATAAGCCATTCACTTTCCCATTATGAGCAGTGTTTGCTGCAAAGAAAAAGAGTGTATCTTTTCATATATTCAGAAAACATTTAATGCTTAATGATATGTTAATTTAAATACATTAAGGGGCAGCAATGCTTTTAAAAGTATAAATTGGTTATATTTTAAATTAACCAATCTTTCAGATAATTTGAATTTGAAGAACTATATAAATAAGAATCACAAAAATAGAGGAAAAAAACTGGAAAGCATCTTTTGTTTTTTCTGGAGACAGGGTCTCACTATGCAGGTCAGGCTGGCCTTGAACTCACTTTGTAGCTCAAGCTGGCCTAGAACTCGCAACAATTCTCCTGCCTCAGCCTCCCAAGTGCTGGAATTACAGGTGTACGCCACCATGCCCGGCCAGAAAAGATCTTGACAAACAAATTTTTTCATCAAGTAAGCTGTGCTATCAAATTCAATTAAATCCATAACTTAACAGTAAAACTATAAATTAAATATCTCTCATCCCTTATAATTATTTCCATTTCTACATGAACTATTAAAAACCAATAATGCTAGTATTTCCTATTGCTAACGAGTTTAGCAGAAAAAAGATAACTATTCCAGCCTCAATCAAAATTTACATTCCTTTCAAAATGAGAAAGTTTGAGAAAACACAATTTCTAATAGCCTGATGATTTTAAAATGACTTTCAGAAATGATCATGTTTTATGTAGCTCATCTAATATATTTCAGGTTAACTACTAAATCTCAGTGAAACTTTCTACTCAGGAATAAAATTCTACTATAAAACCCAATTGAGGCACATTGTTACAGGGATTGCAGTTCACACATGAATTGCAAGTTTTATGCTGACACGGTGGCAATAATATTAAAAACTTCTGTCATGTACTGGGGGTTCCTAACTGGCATTTAATTTGTATGGTTGACCTCAGTGGAAGAAAAATCAGTAAACCAAGTTAATCTAGAAAAGGTTCTCTTTGAAAATTTAGAGGCAAAAGACACTGATATACTTTCTTGTTTTTGTTTTAAATTTTTATTACTATGTTTGCAGTAGATAATGATTACATTCATCATACATAGCTCAACGTACACTTTATAAATCCCCTTCTTCACCCTCCCTTTCTCCTTCTTCTGTTACTGGTATCTTGGAGAAACACATCAGAATATAACTTAAGGACTTTAGAAAGGGATTTATGGTGTATGCCTGTTATAGTTTATATGTAAAATATCCTCCATAAGTCTCGCTTTCAGAGGTGGAACCTGGCTGGAAAGGGCAGGTCCCTGAGGGTGTAGTTTAGGAGGGTGTATTAGCATTTAGGGACCTTCCCTTGTCACTCTGCTTCTGAGCTTCTATGTGGTGAACAGCTTTCTGCCATGCCACTTCTGCCTTGAAGCCACCACGCCATGGACTACAGCTACTGAAACTGTAAGCCAAAATAAACCTCTCTTCCTTTCAGTAGTATCAAGTATTTTGTCTCAGTGACTAAAACATGCCTTAAAAGTTTCTTAATGTTTATAATGTGTCAATATACACATATTGTGTGGCTTCAATTAAAAAACTTCAACATAAAAATACTATCATTGTCATGTTTGGTATTTATAGAATCTTCATTACCTGACTCAGCAGCTTGTGACTTCTCTCCATTATGTTGATCAAGAGTAATCAAACATCCTGATGCTTTCCTCACATCCCACAATTTTACTCTACTGTCAGCACTGAGAAGAAAGAAATGTTACATTGACAAAATGTCACCAGGGTAGCAACTACCCTCACCGACTCTTCTAGCTTTATGGTTCACAGAGATTCCATCACATTAGCACCAATGTATTTGTACAATGGGACTGTTGTACTTTTGCATTTTCAGCAAATACTCAACACTCAAAAATCACATAAAAATGTGAAAAAACAGCAAGGATGAATAATCTTCTGTTTTTAAGATCACAAGGACAAAACTGTGTTGCTTTTTATATTGCTTTTCTTTACATGAGCATCTTTTCCTCCAAGGTTCTAGCAAGTCTGTTAGTACATCACTTCCACTGTTGTTACTCAAAGCCTGTCAAGATAATCAGTTAACTAATTTCACTTTAAGAATCATTCTGGGCTGGGAATACAGCTCAGTGGGAAAGTGCCTACTTAGCATACACAAAGCCCAGAGTTCAGTCACCAGCACTGTCAAATTAAAATCAAAATATCTATTTGGCATGATTTTGGTGTTTTAACTTTTTACATTAAAAAACCTAGGAAGGAGCAAATGAGGACAAAATATTTCCATTTGGTTTCTTATACTCAAGTCATTTTTTGCCAGTTCAATAAGAACTACATTTGATGTCTCCTAAAAATTACACACTGATGTTCCTTTTTTTTAAGTAGGCAAAAAGAAAGGCAAATATATCCATGATCACATGTCAACTTCTAAGGTATTCCTAAAGAAATGTCCAGAAATTCTATGTGCTCTTAATTCAAATCATAGTATCATGATTTTACAAAGACCTCTAGAATATTGTAAGTCACTGGGTTGTTATAGCTGGTATAATGAGAGGGCATTATGTTATACTTTATGAAGCCCTTTCTCATTACACACAGTTTATACAGTGCTATGAGCATGGTTCTTTTTACAGATCACCATGAAAGCTAGCCAACAGGAGCAGTCAGCAGAAAGGTAGTATGTCCCATTCTCAGGTTAGTTTTCTTTGTTTTTGGCTGAGGAAATTGTCTACAATGGGAGGGGTGACAATTTAAGTCTCTTCTGACACAGCTTACATTTGCAAATGTCCAACTCTTAATATTGGTTACTTAAAATTGGTTACTGTTTCATCCTGACTCAAATTGCTATAGGAATTCCAAGAGCTGAAAGCCTCTCAGCTCCCCTTGGCTCTGGAGAAAACCACTGTAGCATGAACTAGAATATAAACCCACCCAAGATGGACCCACAGTGAGCACCTAGCTCCTCACTTTCATACCTCTCTGGCCAGCCTTTCTAATGCTATATACTATAGACCTTGCTACACTTCAGAAATCACAAATTTCAAAATCACATTCTGCAAACTATTAACAGAAGCTTTGAGGGACTAACCTGTGAGAAGTGCTGGCACTATAAAAAAATCCAGACACAGATCTTTATTGAAACGTTTATATCAAAGTAGGGGTTGCTGATGCAGCTCAGTGGTAGAGTGCTTGGTAAACATGTATGAGGCTCTGGGTTCAATTCCCAGCACACACACACAATTATGCCATAATCTTCATTATTATTTCCTATTTTTTGCCTTTGAATTTTCTTACTGACTTGCATTCTTCTGTTTCATTGAGTTCTTGATCCCTCCTACAGGCTTTTTTATGATTTCTTTCTTTCCTTATACTCATGACTTCAATAATTTTCAGCCACAGGTTTGTACTCTTTTATATATTGAAAATTGTTACATCTGTGTAATCTTGAAGGGAAAAACTGTACCAGAAAAATTGTTCCTTTTAAAAAACTTTCTTCTTTTGAAACTGCCTAGTTCTGAAACAGCTTCAAGGCTCTGTAATTACTTTCTTGACCCCTGTAACCACAAGAGCATAACAAAACATGCAGGATGTCTGATTTTACCAAGTTTCATGACCATTAATCTAGCTTCATAACAGATGACCATTAATCTAGCCTTGTAACCAATGATCTCACCCTGCTAGCCAATCAGAAGAACTCCCAGGCTGTTCTGTCTCATCTTTGTACCTCCTGTTTATGCATTACATAAAAGCTCTAGACCATCAGAGATCAGGGCCTGATATTTTGGGAATGATCCCAATCAGTGCTCATTGATGTAAATGAATCTGCCTCCAAATCCTGGGTGTTGTTTTGGTGGTTCTGTTTCTCATAGCAAACTGATGTTTTGCTTTCTGTAGCTTAGTAGAGCTCTGATTTATGTATTCAATTGAGCACAACTACTCAGCAATCCTAGGTGTTCCTAATCACCTGCCTCTTGCATGTAATCTGGTAATCCAGATTTTAACTAGTGTCCCTCAAAATCGCATCCTCACTTCCATATTTTCAAAGACAGTATCAAGTCTTAGTATATCAAAAAACAATTGAGGTCATTAAGTTTGCATTTCTTGAACTTCTCTGCCAAAGCAATAAACTTACCTCTATTCAGTCCCACTCTTTCCACCTTCTGTTTAGTCTCACAGTACCCACTCTGCGTCAACTCGATCTAGATCTGAACACCTCTCCCCTCCTGTCTATTCAGTGTGATGCAGCATCAGTCATTCCTTCTGCTTCTTATCTTCACCTACTTTTCGCTACTGGTACTTTCTTCTCTGCAAATAAATATGTAATGCGCTTCCTTCCAACAAACATTTCCCCCAAAATTTAGATGCTTCCTTCTTTTCCTATATTACACCCATCAAAAATGTATTTTTTAGGATACCCTCTAATCATTGACTTTTCCACCAGAAATTGGAAGCTTCCCAAAGTTAAGTTACCTCTGTGGCCCAAGTACAAAGGCTGACACAAAGTAGGCAACCAGTAAGTATCAACAAATTTAAATCAATGATGGATCAAATTGAAATCAATATCTGATGGATATTTTCTATCATATTCAAAATAATTGTTGATTAAAAAACGAATAGAAAAGTAACCTTTTGAAAATTAACAAAGTGGTATACTTTTGTGTTAAAAAAATGAAACAATAAAAATGATTTATGAGTAGTCCTGGTTGAATTGCAGAATCTCATGTTTTCTCAGTTCTAAAGGTGATAACCTTTAAGATGGACAGTGAGGATTTGAATGTAAAGGAAGAGTTCTTTGGCTGATGTGAATTAAAATCCCCAACAATATTTCTTTTTACAGCAATTAATAATTAAATATGCTAAAATATGCATCTTTATAAATGTAGTCTTTTAACATGCTTATGGGTACTTAGTACTGTTAATTTAAAAACTAAATAAGCTACATTTTACCTGGCAGTTGCCAAGATATAGTCATATCGTGGTGACCAGGAAACTGCCAATATTTCCTGTCTGTGACCTGCAAATATAATTGTGTGAAAATTCTCAATAAGACACTTGAAAAAAAGATAAAGTTTCAAAAACATTTCCTAATTGTGAATAAAGCATTATAAAGTCATTAGATATGTTCATCATTTTTTCAATATTTATAACAATTTCTGTTCAAATACTAATGTGAAATCTGTAGGGATATTTTTATCAAATGGTATTTTAATATAAGAGGACTTGTTTTGTTTAGAAATGTCAAGTGAGTGCTATCTGAAAAAATTTAGATGTTAGTCTATGTCAGTCAATCCATATAACTCAACCTTATTTATTTCTATAATACAGAACCTTTTGAATAATGCATAAAATAAACAGTTTAAAGCAATAGAAATATCTTCCAGTTTTTCATAAGGTTATAATGGAAAAAAGAATTATTGATTGTAGCATTTGTATAATTTCTTCTTCTAGAAAGCCTGGTGGCAAGTTCATAAGATAAATGATTTCAACATCTTAATTCAGTTTTACCTAACCAAACTATTCAAATCAGGAATTTTCATCGGCCTAGGTTATATAAATATAAAGTCATAATAATATGAAAAGTAGTACCCATGTCACCAAGGTTTCTTGATAATTTGTTTCATAGAGATCAATAATAATGTATATTCAATTATATTCAATCTTTTCATTGTTCAGAATTATCTAATACTGAATAAAAGGTAGCAAAAAAATGTAAATTAGTATACTTTTTCCAAACCATTTCAACATTTTTTTCTAAAATATTTAGGTCAGGGATATAGTTCAGCAACACAAGTGGCTGGCTGGCAAGCGCAAGGTCCTGAGTTCAATTCCCAGTACCCAAAAAATAAATAAAATGAAATGAAATATTACACCACACAAAAATTTGCTTGAACTTTTTGTTTGTTTGTTGTTTTTTTGTTTGTTTGTTTTTTTCCAGTACTGAGAATCGAACTCACGACCTTGCGCTTGCCAAGCAGGAGCTGTGCCACTGAGCTAAATCCCGAGCCCCTTCACTTGAATATTAAAAACATCAGAACAAATATTAAGACAATGCTTATGGGACAACTGCACTGACATAAGTTTCCATAGCAGTTTATCCTTTGAAATGTTGTGATAACTCAAGGTTTTCAGTTAGATCTTGTAGTTTTCATTTCCTTTGAACTTTCCCTACAATCATTGTTCATATAAATGTTTCCTCAATGGTTCAGTTTTGTAAAAATATTGCACAGAAGAATCTTTCTTTCCCTGTTGATTTTTAACAACTACAATAAAATACATCAGTCATACCACTTACAAAGAATACACTGTTAGTAATGATTCTTTCTATTGAATAGTTAAAGTAGTAGTCATTTCAAATTAAAAAAAAATACCCCGTAGAATATGAGAACAGGATCCAGACTTTAAATCACAAAGTTGTACTTTGGGTCCTCTAGTACCAACTGTAAAAACAAATAAAACAAAAGATTAAATATAATTTTCCTACAAATCATCAGCAAAAGTAAAAAACACACCACCTAGAAATCATGACATTTCACAGTATGCATTCAGAAATACAAAAGTATATGCCCAAAATACGTTTAAAATGAAGTTTAATCCTTATAATTAGAAAGATTATTTTAATTCTACCTGCACTTCAGGCGGAAGAGAACTCCATTCCTACATTAGTTTTTATTTTAAACTACTTAGACATTTGCAAGAAGGGCCTGGGTTCCCCTCATGATCATGTCAGGTAAATGAAGGACACTACCAAAACCAGGGTTTTACATGGGAAATTAAATGTCTTATACTTCTATGCTATTTTACCACATCAAATCATTTTATTTTAATAGCTTCATTTTCCAAGTTAATGATACACTTCCAGTTTTAAGTACAGTAACAGATTCACGAAGGCTCTGGACATGGACTGAATGGACCTCAAAGACAAGCTAGTGACTAATTCTTAACAAATATAGGATCTGCCTGATGAGGGGTGAAGAGATTCATGGACAGCCACAGAAAGAATGCAATCACAGGGACCACACATTAGATAGTAGAAAAACATAGTTTCTTCCTCAAATGAAAAAACTTTTGTTGCAGGTGCTTTATATGAGCAGCTGGTTAATTTCAATCATAATTTTCGAGATGGAAATAATTTTCTTGTTTCACTGCATTAAATTGGAAAAGTTAAGGAAAAAATATGGAAATTTAGTGATTTTCATCTTTTAATCATAGCCATTAGCATAAAGCCTGACTTGCACACATCTGTTGAACTAAATATAAATAATATTTAGATTAAAAAAAAATACTGATCATCTCCGGTAATTAGATATGAACAAAGAGAAAGCATTTGACAGGTAAACAACAAAAGAATACATGTACAAACCTGCTACCAAACAGTGCTTGGTGGCAACTGGAGACATATGATGACTATAAACTGTTTCCTCAAAATTAAATACATCTGCAGTCTGATAATCAAAAACATTTAAGAAGTTAAGTTCTAATGACAAAACCAAAGCAACAAACTCTCTTTTCCCCATATTTTTTTCAGTTTAGAAATTGACTGTTAGCAATTCATTTGACTTAAGCATAACACTTTCTAGAAATTAAGAAAAGACAACCACTTGGCTTACTGTCTTCTGCTCTACTTTAGTCCACGGAATTTCAGCACCAACAGGGACCTGCCTTTCAGTTCCCTACAGTCTCAGCTACAATAATCAGGGCAGTGTGTCCTCACCTACAACTGTTCCTAGCTTTGAAATCATGCATTTCGGTTATTTATGACAACAACAGTCTTATCCCTTTGTCTTCTCTCCCGAATTACTCTCAGGACAATGGAATAAGCCACAAAACCTCTATCAGTTCCTTCTGTCCACATCTTTTCCTCTCTAGCCTGACTTCTAAGTTCAACAGGCCAGTATCTTTCTCTGCTGTCCCTTTCTATTTCTCAAGGAAGACCTCGAGCCTGAATGACTCCACCTCCACAAATGTGTGCCTTTTCTGCACCTGTATCAAGGTAGATCTACATAGACGGCAAATGTTTTGCCTGTAGGGTAAAAGAGTAAAAATGCTAGAGGTTGAGGAATAAATACTTTTCTACCCACTGTAAGAAAATCTTAGTCTGCAGACTGGTGTCACTGTAAAAGAACATTCATCTCAACTGGGTGCTCAGTAATGACTGCCAATCTTACTTTGCATTAATTTGTAATGCAAAATACTGTATTAGGTATTCTCTGCAATATTCTGCAGCTACTTCAGATTTTCTCCATTCTCCACAAATATTCTTACTCAGGCACAACATCTGGTATATTTTAGTTGAAAGAAAAATTAGGAGGGACTCAACAGAAATTCTCAGTGTTAGCAACAAAACTACAAAAAATTTGCTTCTACCAGCTATTTCTTCATTCTTCACTCCTGTTAGATGGAAAAACTGATCCCTCCCCATTTCAAAAGTTAATGCCCTTCTGTACTGTCAGAAATATCAGATTCTTTTAGGCGTCCATAACTTCCTTCCTGCCTCAGTTCCAAGTTCAAGTCTCTTTCATCTTAACAGCACCCACTGCTTTATTATAAACAAATCAGGAGAAATTTCACTCTACACTTGTCTTAATCTTTTCTCCTGTTCAAATTCACATTTTGGCTATTTTAAGTCCTTATATCCCATGTGACTGAAAACAATCGATTTTATATTTATTAATTATTCACACATCTCTCCCATTTTGTTGCTCCTTTTTCTGTCTTATTTAAATTGGTGTGCCTCAAGATTTGTTTGTATAAACTCTTCAACTGCCACCTGCATGCCAGTGATTCTAGTACAATGTAAAATGGGAGAAAGAATAAGGATAACTACACCAGAAAGCTTTCCATATTTTACCTCCAGGAATAATATATACTTCACTAATGTTTTGAAGTATACTCTTTATCAAATTAAGGATTTTTTTCTCTATTTCTCATACATTAAGAATTTTGAAAAAAATCATGACTGGTTCTACCATTCCACCTTTACTAGTACCACTATTTAGCTTATGACTCTCGAGATAGCTAGTTAACTTTACACTATTTTTTTTTAACTTTACACTATTGTTGTTACTAGAGGTAAAATTCCATTTAGTAAATGTTTATCTTTCTGTCTCTGTTTCTTTTTGTTTTTGTCTTTTTGAGACAGGGTCTCGCTATGAAGTTCAGATTGGCCTTGAGCTCACTTTGTAGCCCAGGCTGGTCTTAAACTTGCTATGATCCTCCTTCGTTAACCTCCCAAGTCCTGGGATTCCAGGCGTGCGCCACCATGCCCAATAGTAGATGTTTAGTGTAGGAGGTCAACAGTGGATTTATATTTGGTCTGTTCTAGTGCTATATGATAGTATACTGCATGATCTCTTTTCTATGGTTAAGCAGGGTACATTATTAGTCTCTCGAGTTTGTCAATACTCAGGTTTTTTTGGTGCTATAATTGATTCTTTTTTTATTACTATAGCCAAGGTGTCACAGCTAGGGCCATAAGTTGGTTTTCTTGGGATGCCAATATTTGGACTGCCTTGTGCTGAGTAAAAATATGGTGGCCCACTCCTGGATACTAGAACAAATATGCTGCAACCTCCCATCCCAGGTAAATGGAGGTGGGTGGATCTTAGGAGAGAGACAAAGGCTTGGTAGCCACACCCAGAAGACAACACAGAAATCAAGGAAGAAACAAGACCGTTTCTAGAACTAAACAACAATTCATGTACAACACACCAGAATTAATGTGACACAATGAAAGCGGTGCAAACTACAGAAGTCTCCCAACTAGAGAAAGCTTTCCACTACAAATTACTGGGAAGCTTCAAAACAAAATCAAGTAAATAAAAAATAGAAATAAGAGAAGACAAAGCAATAGAGTGAAATTTATCACTGTGAATGCCCACATCACAACAACAGAGCAAACACAAATGAATAATGTAAAGATGCACCTCAAGGTCCTAGAAAAACAACAACTTTCTAAACCAAAAGCTAGGAAGGAAGAAAGTTATAAATATTATGGCAGAAAATAAAAGTGAGATTAAAATAGTTAGAAAAAATTAATAAATTGAAGACTTGGTTCTTTGAAAGAATAAACAAAATAAAAAGCTCTAAACAATATACCAAAAAAAGTAAAGACTCACATCAATGTAATTAGAGGTGAAAAAGTGAAATGAAAATGGACACTGCCAAAATAAAAAAGATCACTGACAGCTATTTAGCAAACATTTACACCCGTAAATTGGAAAAAACAGAGGAAATGGACAGATTCATGGATACATATGAATTACCAAATCTGAGCCAACGGGATTTAAAAATCCGGAATAATCCAGTAATGGGCAATAAAGTTAAAACAATAATAAAAAACCTAACAGATCTGGATGGATTCACTGTTGAATGCTAGAAAAACATCTAACACTTATGGTTCTCAAGGTCATTAGTGAAAATGAAAAGGAAGGAGTACTCATAATGTCATTGCTGGAAGCTAGTGTTACCATGATTCCAAAATCAAAGCTTCAACTAAAAACAGAACTATACCAAATTCTTTAATGAATATAGATAGAAAAAGCCTCAATATGATACTGACAAACAGAATGTTATGAATCATCAAAAATTATCATATATAAGAAAAGATCATACATCATGATAATGTAGGCACCCTAACTGGTACTCAAATAATGATGGAAATCTCAGAAGAAAGGGACAGATTCCTAGATACCCATGAATTCCCAATAGTGAATCAAGAAGATATAAAAATTCCAAGTAACCCAATATCCATCAAGGAAGTTGAAGTAGTTACAAAAAACTACTAGCAAGGAGAGGTCCAGGTCAAGATGCATTTACTGCTAAATTCTGTAAGAACTTTAGAGATAATCTAATGCCACTAATCCTCAAATTCTTTAATGAAATTGAAAGAGAACCAAACTCATTCCTGAAAACAAGCATTACTCTGATACCCAAAACCAGAGAAGGATCCAACCAAAAAAGAGAACTGTGGGCCAGTCTCTTTAATGAACACAGATGTAAAAGTCCCTAATAGCATTCTGGCAAGCAGAATGCAGCAAGTCATCAAGAAGATTATACATCACAACCAAGTAGGATTTATCTCAGGAAAGTAGGGATGGTTCAACAAGTACAAAGCCATAAATGTGACACACTACATGAACAGAACCAAGGACAAAAGCCACATGGTTCTCTCAATAGATGAAGAAAATGCATTTGACAAAGTCCAACACACATTCATGATAAAAACCTCACAATTCATCAAAATAAAAGGTCATTATGTCAACCTCATAAAAGCCACCTATGATACACCAAGAACCAACATCATAGTAAATGGTCAAAAGTGAAAGCTTTCATGCTAAAATCAGGAACAAGACAAGGAAGCTTACTATAACCATTTCTGTTAAGCATAGTTGTGGAAACATTAGCTACAGAAGTTAGAGAAGAGAAAGAAAGAAAAGAAATAAGGAAAGGAAAGGAGAAGTTAAATTACCATTATTGACTAATGACATGATACTCTATATCAAAGACCCCAAAACTGCCACCAAAAGACTCCTAGAATTAATAACCAAAATTCAGAGCATGGCAGGATATAAAGTAAACATTCAAAAATCAATAGCATTCCTGTACATGAATAACAAATGCACTGAAAGAGCAATTAGGGAAACAATACCTTTCACAGTAGCATGAAGATAAATGAAATACCTAGGAATCAATCTAATGAAGGAAGTGAAAGAACTTCACATTGAAAACTACAATACTCTGAAAACGGAGATCAAACAGGATGTTAGAAAATGGAAAAATATCCCTCGTTTTTGGATAGGCAGAACCAATATAGTGAAAATGGCCATACTTCTAAAACTGTGATACAAATTTAAGGCAATTCCAATCAAAATACCAATCACAGACCTCACAGAAGTAGAGAACACAATCCTAAAATTCACATGGAAGCAGAAGAGATGTAGAATAGCAAAAGCAATTCTGGGCATCAAAGGCAAGGCAGGAGCATTACAATCCCCAATTTGAAGTAAGAATACAAAACTACCATGATAAAAATAGCATGATACTGGTACAAAAAACAGACAGGAAGATCAGTGAAACAGAATAGCAGATGGAAAAACAACTCCAAGCATACTCAGCCACATTATCTTTGACAAAAGTGCCAAAATCTTTCACTAGAAAAATGATAGCCTCTTCAATACGCAGTGCTGGGAAACCTGGCCTTCCCCCATGCTGAAAGTTGAACTTAGACCCATATATCTCTGACCATGCACTAAACTAAAACTGAAATGGATGAAATACCTAAATATAAAACTAGAAACAATTTGCTGGAAGACAGAATAGGCAAAATTTTTAAAGATGGAGGTGTAGGCAAAGACTTCATGAAGAAAACCCTGATAACACAGGAAATATTACAAAAAGTCAGTAACTGGGATCATATCAAATTAAAAAGCTTTCCAAAACAAAAGAAACTACCAAGAGTGAAGCAACAGCTCACAGAATGGGAATAAATTTTTACCAGATACTCCTCAGATAAAGGCCTAACATGTAGAATATATAAGGAACTCAAAAAAAAAAAAAAAATCATATCCCCCAAACTTAAAAGATGCAATCCAAAAATGAACACCTGAAATGAATATGTATTTCTCAGATGAACTACAAAAAACAAATATATATATGGATGCTCACCATCACTGGTCACTGCAGAAATGCAAATTAAAGCAACACTGATATTCCACCTCACTCCAGAATGAGTGGCTATCATCAAGAAACCAACCAATAACAAATGATGGCAAGGTTGTAGGGAAATAGCAACCCTTCTCCGTTGCTGGTGGGAGTGTAAACCGGTATGACCACAATGAAACTCACTGTGGAGATTCCTCAAAAACTAAAACTGAAGTTTCCATTTGACCTAGTTATTCCTCTTCTAGGTATCTTCCCAAAAGAGTTAAAAGCACCATACCACAGTGATATATACACACCCGTTTACAGGAGTACAGTTTATAATAACTAAATCTTGAAAACAGTCGGTATGGCCATCAAAAGATGAATGGTTAAAGAAAATGTGCTACTTATATACAATGGAGTAATACTATGCCATAAAGAAGGATAAAGTTGAGTCATTTGTAGGAAAAATGGATGCTCTTTGAGAGTATAATCTTAAATGAAGTTAATCAGACAAAAAAGTTTCAATATTACATCATTTCTCCTATGTGAGGAAAGAACCCAAAGTTTTAATAAGGAGCATAGTGGAGGATAGAGTTTGGAAAGCAGGAAGAACATGTAATGGAAATGGAAAATAGGAAGTGGGGAGAGGGAAAGAAAGAAGGGAAATGGGAAAAAAAGAATGAAAACAAAAAAATGGAAAGAAAGCTTTTGTATATAGAAGGAAAAGAAGGGTTGAAGAGAAGGGAGGAAACTGGTAAGGAAAAGAAGAATTAAGACATGCTACGTTCAGTTACAAACTCCCTACAATGAATGTGATTAATATGTACAACAAATAATGTACTAATAAAAAGTTTAATTAAAAAGAAAAAGAAATAAAGGTGGTATGTATAGGAAAGAAGTCAAATCATTATTTCTAGATGACATGACCTTCAATACAGAAGACTCTCAAAAAGCCGTCAAAAGACTCATAGAATTAATAACTGAATTCAGTAATGCATCAAAATACAAAATAAACAGTGTTTCTGTACACTCATAAAGAATCCACTGAGAAAAAATATAGCAAAAGAAAATTTACATTAGCACCAAAATTAAATACTTAGGAATTCACCCAAGGAAGTAAAAGCTCCATAACAAAAACTACAGCATGTTAAAAAGGGAAATTGAAGAAGACATCAGAAAATAGAAAGACAGAGAGGAGGCAGGGCAAATGGTGGAAGGGTAGCCAGCAAAGGAAAAGCCTCTCTAAGTGTTACTGTCCAGATGCTGGAATATAAGAACATAGCGAAGATAAGAAAGAGGGAAGTGATTCCCCCTGGACCCAGGAATGAACAGAGGTGTGAACTGAAGCCCACAGAGAGAGTGAAGAGAAAAACTTCAGTGAAGAAGGAGGTAGCTGCCAGCACCTTCTGCCTGAGAGGGGACACACTGGTGAGAGAAGTGATTCAGACCTGTGGACACATACTGAGCACTGGCAACCCCAAAGGCCTCTGTGGAGAGATGCAACAGTGGAGCAAAGGAGCAACAGACATGGACTGCACTAGCTGGCGGTGAGTGCTGAGGGCCCGGTTGTCCCACACAAGAGAGCTATTGGCCAGGAACCATTTTGGAGAAGGGGCTGGGTAAGCTCAGAACTCAAGAGTGGCTGCCAGCTAAATCAAGCAACTCCCAGCTGGGCTCAGAATGAAGGAAGGCGTGCTGACAGCTGCAATCTGCCAAAGGTGCAAACTTGCTAAGAGTATCCACTACCTTGCTGAAAAGCGAAGCTGGCTTGCTGGGATGAGTCAACATAGATCAGGACTCTGTCTCCACAAGTTTTCTACCAGTGATGACAAAGACAAACCTGGAAGTGAACTTTTTTTTCCTCTCTCTCTTTTTTGTTGCTTTCTGCTTCTGTTTCTTCCCTTTCATTGTTTGAACTTGTTTTTATGTGACTGTGAACAATGTATTTAGCCTCTTTGTGGTTTTGGTTCTGCTTTGTTCTTTTTAGCTCTTCCTTCTCTCTTTCCCTCTAGTGTTCTGTACCAATTCCCAAAAGTTAGCATGATCCCCCTTTGTCCTCCAGCCTTACTTCTAAATGCTCCTTCTTCTTCCACTTTTCTATTTTCTCCCTAACCCATTTTAAATTTAACCCCGGAGGGCAAAGTTAACATATTAAAGGCTTGTATACTGCATACAATTTTCTGCTTTTAGATTTTGTTATGTGACCACAAATCTAGTTCATATGATTAAAGGTGGAAAATTAATGGTTACTTCAGTTTGTCATTTTCTAGGCTGTGTTTTATGCTATTGTCATTAGTACCACTACAGCCAAAAGTGACACAATTGTTCTAAACAGCTGTGCTTCCTGGTATGCCAAGATTGAGACTGACTAGAAGAAGTCATTTCCTAAGGGTTCTAAATACTAGCAATAAAGTGACCCACCAAAGGCAATTTACAAACATCACCCGCAGAATTAAAAAAAAGAAAAGAAAATGAGTTACCCTTAAGGTATTTAGCATTTCCATACAACACTCGATTTAGTAGTGTATCAAACACAGTCCTTTCCTTGGGCAAGAAATATGCCAGAAAGCAAATAAGACATCCAGGTATGAAAATGACGTAAAATAGTAATGTGTTCTATGTAGAAAACAGTTACATCGAAGTGAAAGGGTCATTAAAATGAACTCTGGAAGCTACAGTCACTGACTATCTGCTAGACCTGGAATGACCTGAGGCATCATGGAGGCTGACACTTTAATTGTAGAGGTGAAGAGATCTTCGCTGATTAAATACTGACTTTATGTAAAGTAGCATATCAAATAGGCAGTACAGTGGAAGTAGAACTGCGGTGTGCTGAATCTGGGTTCAGTGTAATTGTAAAGAGGATGTGACCTTAGGAGAAGGGGAAAGATACACAAAAGAACCCACAGGAGGGAACACAACATAATCAAGATGTGATGCAAAGTAGACAAATTTAGCTATAGTACTGTTTTGAAAAGACGTGGAAGTCACTATTGATAGAATAGGGGGTGAAATTATGAAGAACTTAGAAGTGAGGCTAAGTTTAGACAGTGGGCATCAGCACAGGGTTTGAGTATAGATACGATAAATCCATCTTATAGTAAGATTAATTCTGGGGATAAACTTTCTGTGAAAACAGGTGGGAATCAAATAGGACAGGGAAACAAGTTAGTAGTTTTCAGTAGTTAGATGCAAGCTTGGTGAGGGACATAGAAAAGAGAAGCATGAGAGAACCTGAAGAAAAGTTTGCCAAGATTTCACAACTAAGTGAATGTGGAAAACATTCAGATTGGAACATGTCACGTTTGAAGGAAAGACAGTACATTTAAGTAAGGTAGAGAAACATGACAGTAGAGCTCAGGGAAAAGATGAGCACTAGAAAGTTCAATTCATTCACATATGAGAGAAACCATTATATAATGTCTACCTTTACTTTCTTTTAACTTTTTTGATCAATTGTGGGTAAGTCTGATATTCTTCCTTAAATCACCAGCCCACAGTAGTTTTCAACTAGTGTAATACTTAACAGTTGTTGAGTATTTACTATAAGCTAGGTACTGTTAGCTACTTTACATATACCAGCTTATTGAGTCCCACAACTCTTCAATGAGTTGCCATAGTTGGTGCCCCATTCATAGATGAGAAAACTGCAATATGAAGAGGTTTGGACATTAGCAACAGTCTAGCTCTCTTAACTGCTAGGCTGCTTTCACATTTTGAGAAATAATCACATGAAAATGGTTTAGAATGAAATTCTTCACTCTACAGAGCACACTGGAAAGGCTTCAATATACTTACTTGTAATGTATTCGTATCCCACACTTTCAGAGTTTTATCAAATGAGCTTGATGTGAACATGCCTGTGTCATGAGGGTACCACTGAACAGTCTCCACACTATATTTGTGAACATCGGCATGGTTTCTATGAAACAGCAATCAACATTTATAGATAACTGATTTCTGGGAGTTTCAAAACTGATACAATATTAAGAACAAGTAGTAGTCTCAGTGTGATATGACTTGTCACATCCAGATTACGTTCCTGTGCCCTAGCTGTCCAGGAGATGGGGAGAATGTGCAGGCATCTACAGATTCAGGCTTCCATAGCATTATGTAGTGGCAAGGCCTCCTCCTAAGGCTCACAGCATGGGAGACTTCCCATTTTTGTATTATGTATATCCCAGCAGCATCAGCCAGCTACAGAAGATTTATTTCATCGTGGAGATAGCAGGGCTCTCTGCCTTTATTGGATTCCTCATTTAGGTTTGGATTTGCTTTTCTTTAGTATCGCTGTACTAGCACTCCCATTCTTAAACTGTTGAAAGTCTTACCCACTTCCATGGTGTCCCACACTATCCTACTTCTTATTAAGAAACTTATTGTGTAACAGAAGGATGTTCTTGGTGGATGTCCATGAGATTCACTAGTTCTGGGGGTGACCTATCACCCACAGAAGCATTATCTGTCAATGACTACATTACAATATCAGCTAGATCACCTCAGGAGGAGTTGTGCTATCCTATTGGATATAGTACATGCTCAGAACCAGTAATGAATATTATACATGTATCATGGTATTAAACCTTAATTGAAACGAACTGGGTATTTGTTTGATACTTAGTAGACTATGAGAAAAATGTGACAGCTGCTTGGATATTTAATATCAGGAATTGTTGTATATATGAGATAGTGGTACTTTGGTTATGCTCATAAAAATCCTTTTTGTTTTAGAGATACAAACAAACAATTATGGATGAAATAATATGCTATATGGGAATTATTTCAAAAGAATCCCGAGAATAAACAGGTATGGGGTAGAGATGAAAAAAGACTGCTTATGACTGGTAGTTGGTAGGGTTGGGAAATGGGTATACTGGCTACTTTTATATAAGTTAAACAAAATTAATAGGATACTATAGCCCTCTATACATAGAACCATCATGGGTTCTGATTTTCAAGGGTAAAGGTCCGTGTTCCAGTACTGGGGAAAGAACCCTGGACACTTGTGGAACACCTGTACACCTGAAGGAATGAGAATGTGAAGCAAAGTCTTAAATGCCAGGTCTGGCCTTAAGGTGGCGGAAAAAATACATTACCTACCCATATACCTTTTCTTCTTCTGTTGTGTATATACTTACATATTTTCATAAAGTAAAAAAAGACAAGTAAAATTATCTAAAACAAACTAATCTGAACCTCACAGGGATTGTTTTCCAAGTCTGTGTTTTCAAAGAGAAGGGCCACAGCCAAGAAGCGTGTGTAGCTGTCTTTAAGTAGATCTGCAGCCCAAGTGCAGACTCTAGTGCTCTGGGAGCAGCTTTAACACACAGCAGTTATTGATGGTAGTGTTCACGAAGTCTCTCCTCTCTATCACTTTGCTCAGCACCTACTCTGTCCATGCAAAGGTCTGCTCAATGGCTGACCACAGTCAGGCAAGGAGAAAGAATTAACTACCTGTATGAAAAAGCTACCTCAAGGTCACACACAGACTGGTAAGCCATGAAAGAATAACCAGAGAAGTTGAGACAGAGTTTTTGTTTTTTGGTTTTTTTGTAAATTAAGCATCTTTGAGTAAGTACAGACACAACTATGTGTGAAGGGTGGGGTGAGGGGTTGCCTGTACATTTATTACATCTAGCTCTGAATTGTTTTTTTCTGTATTAATATCAGTTGAAAAACTAGTTTGTGTTTATAATTAGCTGAGATGCTCATAAATGAGCCTTCTACTAAGTGGAACTAAAAACTAGTTAGTGAAGTGTGCTTTTTGATACAGAACAAAAAAGACATGATCAAAAACATTAAACCTTGTAGAAAGTTGATACAAAGATTGTTATGGGGAAGCCAAATGACTTTTTAAAAAAGGGCTACTCTTGAATTTCAGTTATTTCCAAGAAAGCACCAGCAAATATCAATATAACTACATCATTTGGATAACTTGCTTCAGCCACTCAGATGATCGCTATTTTCATGTTTTTCATTATGTGCAAAAACAGTCAACTGTTAACAAATTTATGGATTTTGTTTTCTAATACACACCTGCCAATGGAGCACAGTGCTTTACACGTGTAATAAGGTTGTCTGGTGGAGTTCTCAAGGTCATAAAGTACAATCACGCCATCGGAACCACCTGATAACATGCTGATAATAAAGAAGTTCACATTAATTGATCATTTCATTACTCCATTTATTTGTGATGATATATATCATGAAAAGTTGCTCCTTAAAGATTGAAATGTATTGCTCCTTAAAGATTGAAATCATAAATAGAGTTAATTCTCAGGAATGAGGACTACAATAAATATCAATAAACTAAAATTTTTAAATATTTATAGAATTAGACTTCATCCTTGTTTTCAACACAAGATGAAGGGGAGGTGAGAGAAAAGGGGATAGAAAAAGTACTGAAAGAGAAAAAATGAAAATAGAGGTTTTGCAAATGAGAATGGGACACAGTAATGCAAGGAGCAGGGAGAGATGGGTGGGGCAGCAGACAAAAAAAGAATTAAGATGTGTCATACACAGGTCACCAACTCCCTATGAAAAATGTAATCATCATTTATGCAAACATGTACTAGTAAAAAATAAAAAAATTAAATAAGTCTAAAAATTTTATAGCATAGAAAAACTCAGTGATCAATTGTTTACCTTCATGATTCCAAAAAGAACAGATGGTAGAAATAAGACAACAAATGATAGTTCTTATCTAAGAAAGTAAGATATTACAAAGTTATTTTAAGGGCCAGGGATATAGCTCAATGGCACCAACGCCTGCTTGGCAAGCACAAGGTACTGAGTTTGATTCCCCGCACCAGAAAAAAAGTTATTGTAAGTGTTAATTATACTTGTGTTAAATGAAAATGGAATCCGAGAGATAAGCTGTTTCTGGTAATAGCTATGTCACCCTGGCACCTTATGTCACATGTCTAAACATTTCAACATTGGTAAGAAAGGAGGCCCTTTTCACCTAAATCACAAAGCTGATAGGATGATAAAAGTGCCAAGTTCCTTCTCTAAGTACCTCCTTCTTTCTCTTATGAATGCATTCATTCCATCTGTTCAGCTTCACCTGAGCACCTAACAGTATGTAAGTCAGTCTAACACAGCTGTGGACAAGACAGGCATTGCTTCTGTCTACAGTTTACAGTCTATAGGAAAGACAAGTAGTGTACATAACCACACAAAATGTTAGTTATAATCGAGAGCACTGTCACAATAGCTAACTTTTATTCTAGTTTTGGGATATAAGGTTAATTTCCTTGATTGTAATATTTAAATGGGAATTTGAAGGAAGAATTGGAGGTAACAAACTAGGTTCATTTAGACACTGAAAAAAAGAACATGTGGCTGAAGAAATATGGAAAAGTGGTGAGAGAAAGAGGTCAACAGGGCCCAGACTGCCCAAATTGTTACCTATGAGCATAAAAGAGGATGCTAAAAAACAAATGATACAGTTTTTTGGAAGAAAAAGCACACATTTCTTTAACACTTGCCCATTATATTGGTAGAACCTATCAAAGTATTCTATTTAAAAGTTTAGCAAAACAATTTCAAAAAGTAAAAGTAATAGATAAGCATGTATACAAAACAAGAACCTTTTACATTGGTTAAACTTAACTTGCACAATAGTATCTTGAGACTTCACCTACTTTAAGCTGTTTTTTCTCTGTATCTGTCTCTAAGATTGTTACTTATTTTTTTTAACTATGTGTTTTTTAATGACCTTAGTTCCTTTTTCATGAAATTGTCTGAAATCACTTTTGAATTTGAAGTTGTTACCTCTTTCATTAACTTCCCCAAAGGCCTGAATACTCTGCTTAGGAAATAACAATAGATGGTGCAGACTACGGTAAGTTTAGAGAATTCTGCAAAATGGAGAGCACTCTTGATTTGTCTTTTACATATTGCAGTGTGCAAGTATTTTGGGAAAAATCTTTTCTTGTTTATGTTTTACTTTTAATCTCCTTTCAGAGTAATTCTCTTTGGCAGGTTTTTTTTTTTTTTTTTTTTCTTTAAATCAAACAAACTGTTTTGAGCCGAGTGTGGTGGTACATGTCTGTAATCCCAGGACTCAGGAGGCTGAGGCAGGAGAATCACTGAAAACTCAAGGCCAGCCTGGGCTACAAAGTGAGCTCAAGACCAGCCTGAAGTGCATAGTGAGACCCTGTCTCAAAAAGACAAAAAAAAAGCTGTCTTCAAGTAAGTTTGCACTCTATCCCTGAGTTACATCCCCAGTGCTTTTTAAATTTTTATTTGAAGATGGTCTTGCTTATTTACCCGAGTTGGAACTAAACTCAAAATGTGATTACACCCATGTGCCACTACACCCAGCTGGCTTTATGTCTTTATGCAGCCAAGAAAAATTGGTATTAAGATGAATGAATGAATTTAGAAGAATTTAGGAGATCTAAATGGAAACTCAAACTCAACAGAGTGATTATGAAAATGTACTTTCTGCAGTTGAACCTATTAAAATATAATGTTCACATAGTTTCCTTCAGATATCACTTAACTTTGGCAATACATTTCTTCTTCTTCCTCTTCCTTACTGTTTTTTCTTCTTCTTCCTCTTCTTCCTTCTCCCTGCCTCCCTCTCTTTCTTCTGAGATGAGGTGTTGCTGGGCTGGGCTTGAACTCATGATCCTCTAGCCTCAGCCTTCCTAGTAGCTACAATTACAGGCAGGCACCACCAGGCCCCGGCAATAGGTTTCTATTCTGCTTATACAAACATTTTTGATTTATTAGTGTATGTGTAGTACATAATGTTCATGTTCCTTGAGGGGAGTTGGTACATGCTCACAGCACATCCGAATTCCTTCTACTATCCCTTTTCCCATCCCTTTGCCTCCCCCATCTCTTGATCCCTTTCCTTTTTGGATTTGTGCTTGCAATGCATAGTATTTTCAGTGATGTCACTTCAGTGCTCATGGTAGATGGTAAACATTAACAGATGTTTTAAGCAAGCTACACATACACTGATTTTCTCAAGGGAAAGAAAATCAACATTTAATTTTATACTAAAGATATACATTTTTATTTCTTTAAAATGCAAAATATAAGGCTTAGCAAACAATAAAATAGTTGTAGGTTTTTCGCATGTAATCACAGGGAAAACCACTATGGCAAGTTTTCAGACTTTTCTCTCTATGTTCTATGAAAACACATCTCAACCTAGTTCTCATGTTTCATAAGCTATTCCTCACATTTCCCACTGACTGAATGTACTACAACTGATCATTAGGCCAAAGGGCTGGCTAGAGTAGAAGTACTGAATCTTCCTACCAGAACACAAGGCCAAGAGGAATCAGTCATCCCTTGTTCCTCATGTCTGCAGATATTTTTTATGTGAGTGCCCCACAGTTGTCCTTGAGTGGGTATTAAAAGATGAGCCCTGAAAAGTCAGGAAAAAGATAAGAATTTCTGTCAGTCTTCTTTTAAATTTAATTGCAGGCTAAGGTGAGAATTTTGTTCACTTTCTTTATGACTATTCGTTGAGTGTATGGGAGAAGCTGGAAATAAAAAATGAGTTTATGAAAGTTATCCCAACTTCATGTAAATAATAATATCTCATCATAAAAGAAAAATTCTGAGACAAATGCTAAATTTATCATAAGTTGATACACTATCTTAATTGCTTTTATACAATGCCCAACTATAGACCACATGGAGAGTGTTGAACTTTCTTTTTTGGTACTAGGATTTGAACCTAGGCCTTGATTATGCTAAGCATATGCTGGACCACTAAGCTACACTCAAGCTACCAAATTGTTTTGTAAGGGTAATGTGATGTCAGGACCTATAGTAAGGCAGTATCTTCAGATTTGCATTTTTCAAACTACTTCAGCCAGTGTGGAGGGAAAAAGATTGAAAGGAATAAAAGTATATGTCACACTGCTTTTGATATTCTATGCGCTTCAAACTTAATTCTCAAAAATACACTTTTACTTCTTATGTGTTTTCCCATTGGACACCAAGACAGTAGTAGGTGTCTTTAAAAATAGCACCTAAAGACCTACCCCAGCCTTACAGTACCTCTGCATTTAAACAAGTTCAATATTTGTAGATTTAACAATGACTATATTTGGCAACAGCTTGCAATTTTGACAATCTGTATAATTGAAATCATGAGTTGAAAAATGCTACAACTTAGACTTCTTATGAAACTTCTACATGAATCATCAGAAAAAAGATTGTAGTGCATTTTACAAAGAAAAAGTGATAATAAAAGTTGGATTAGCTTACTATCTCCTTTCAACAGGTTCAATGTCAAGGGTGTTAACTCCACTGCCATGGATTCTTTCAACATCTCTGTCTTTATTTAATTCCAGTCCCAAGACCCTTTAAAAATTAAAAGAGAGAAAACAAAGATAAAGCTTGACAATAACAAAATAACAGAATAAATTCTTCACCAAGATATCATAGAGTATGAAAATCACAGGTAATGCTTAAATTTTCTCCTACACATTTATAAGTGTTTATAGATTTTTAAAGGTTGTAAAGGTTGCTTATAACAATATAAGAAGGTTTTTAAAATATTAACAGTTCTATGCATAATTTTTCACCTCAAGTATTATCTTGAATTTTATTTAAATCATTTATTAAGGGTTTTTTGGTTTTTTTTTTTTTTTTTTGTCTTTTTGAGACAGGGTCTCACTCCACAGTTCAGGCTGGCCAGGAACTCACTTTGTAGCCCAAGCTGGTCTCAAACATGCAGGGATTCTCCTGCCTCAGCCATCCACGTGAAAGGATTATAAGCATGCACCACCACTCTGGGCTTAAGTTTTTAAAAAGATACAGACTGAGACTTTCCACAAAGCTTAATTCTAAAAAATTAAGCTGAGGACACCTAGTGGAAAAAGTGTAATTACAGGATTTTTAAAAATTCCTTTTTATTAAGTAGGTAGAATTGGAATTGTTGAATTTAACAATCAAGCATATTTAAATAAAATCATTTCATCTCTTTATCAGAGCTTTGATGCCAACAAGGTGGGATCAAAGTCTATTGGTTCTTATCTGCCTTTTCACTTCTGAACTGAAGCTGGGGACAAAAAAATGGAAGTGTATGGTAGAATATGGGAAAGAGAGCCTAAAGCTTCTGACCAGACAACCAAAAAAGGCAGTCCTAGGGAATTGGGAAAAATCAGGGACAGCATAGGAGCTCAGGACACTGATCCCAGAAACATGTCTACAACCTTTTGGACTCATTCCTGAGTACAGCATGCATGGATTTAATCCGGAATATCATAAAAACTTTTGAAAAAAGAATTCACCACTACCACTCAGGTCACAATCTGAGTGGCTCACACTTGGACAGATCTGAAAAGGCCTTGAAAAACTGAACTAAAGTTGAATACATATATCCATCCTGAACCTAATCTTGCCAATCACTGTTAGAACAAAAATATTACCATTCTGTCTAGGACTGAAACAAGACCCAGAGTTGCATAACAGAGTTACAAATTGTCTAGAATGCAGTCCACAGTTGTGCTGCATATGAAAAAACAGGAAACTTCATTTCACTTGCAAAGAAAAGGACAAGCAATAGGAGCCAAAGCTGAGTAGACACAGCATTGGGCATTATTTGACAAAGACTTCATGCCAGCATTAGAAAATGCGTAAGTACGTGACTGTGAACACACTTGAAACAAATGGTAAAGTATGAGAAAGGAAATGAAAGAAATAATACCCCAAATGGACATTTCAGAACTTTTCAACCTAAAATCATTTTAATTTAATGTACTCAATGTAGATTGGAACTGACAGAGGAACTTCAAGGTAGAGTTATTGAAATTACACAATGGAACAACAAAGGGAAAAAAAAAAAGATTTGGAGGGAGGGGAGAACAGAGCTTCAAAGACCAGAGGAATAATTACAAAAAAACTAACATTATGACACTGCTACTCCAGAAGGAGAGGAGGAAAAATTTGTTAACAAAAGCAATTGGAAAAATATTGGGTAAAAACTTCTCAAGCTGTGAAAGACATAAAGTTACAAACTGAAAACGGAGAACGAATCGCAAGTAGGATAAAGTCAAATAAATCAATGTCCAGATACATTCTAATCAAACTGCTGAACACCAAAGACAATATTTTAAGATGTCAGAGGAAAAGGTCAAATTATCTATTAAGAAAATGATGTTTGAATACCTGCAGATTCCTTTGAAAACATGGAGCCATCAGACCTACTCTACAAGAATTGATAAACAATTCTCTTTAGACAAAAAGGAAACAATATAAGAAGGAAACTGGGGACACCAGGAATGAAGAGAAACCAACAAAAATGGTAAATATCTGGGTAAATATGGTAGACTGTTCTTTCTCTTAAAATATGTTTGATGATTGAACACAAAAATTCTAACACTGTCTATAATGTATGTAAATATATAAGACAAAAACATCTAGGCAGGAAAGTAAAGGGTGGCAAAGTCTCCATATCAAATTAAGGAGTAAAATAATGATTCTAAGCAGAAAATTAAAAGTGAAGTTCTATTTTGTAATTCCTAGAGCAAGTACTAAATATATGTATAAGTAAACATATATATAAAGACATACGGTCAAAATCACAAGGTCAAATAAAATGAATGTTGAAAAAAAAACACAAGAAAGCAGAAATGGGGGAAAGACATGGAACCACTGACAAACAACCCTATTGGTGGTAGTATACAACACTTTTGAAAATTATTAGTTCTTAAATGAAACATATTCTTAAGTGTCTGACTATTCCAGGTATGAACCTGTAAGAAATAAAAACATACCCATACAAAAACTAGTACATGAACGTTCATACCAGCTTTACCTATACTAGCCCAAAACTATAAACTCAAGTGTCCATCAACACATAAGTAGATAAGTAGATTGTATATCCACATAGTAGTACGCGCATCAGGAACAAAAAGGAATCGATACACGGAAATGAGGGAAACATCAAAATAATTCTGCTTGGCAAAGAGGTCAGACAAAAGTGATTATATTTAGAGAATACTCTGAATATGTAAACTAACCTAAATTAGAATCTGAAAGGATGGAACCTTGACGTTAATATTTTTTCCAAATACTGCAGGTGATCCCAATATTCTGACAAAGTTTTATACTGTTACAATTCTCCCTATCTTTTATAATAATCATCAGGTATACCTCATTAAAGAAGCATTGTTTTGAAGCCATTTGTTTGTATTGAGTATTTCATAAGCACCCTCATTTTTGTAAGAACACCAGTTCTTTGTATTCATAGTTTATTAGCACACATGGAAATTAAACAAGAACAAAAATAAGTGAAACTGGCATATATAGGCTTCAAGATAAATACTGACTTTCTATAAACCACAAAACAATTGGTGGAAGAGATGTACATGAAATCAGTAGGGCATATGTTAGCCAGAAAGGTCAAGTTTAGAGAAGTTTTATGGAGAAGTACTAAGTAATATTGGTTATGCATTAATCTACTGATTTGGTTAGGAGAGCTCTCACACTTTTCAATTTTATTTTTAATGAAGGAAGAGGTTTAGGTCACAGTATTTTTACAAAGACCTATACTTAGGTGCTTCCTTATTGCAAGGATCTTTGAGAATAAGAAGACCCAATTTTTAAGATGCTCAGTGGCTCACTAATTTCAATTACTACTGATATTGTAAGATTCCCAAACATGCTACGTTGAACAAAAGGAAAAAAGAGTAATGTTGCTTTTTTTAAAATTTAAAGCTCTTTTCACTAAAATTGAAGATGAAGGAATTTTCAAGTTCACTCCTTTTTCACTGTTTACTTTGCTAATCATAATGGAAGAATTGTAGAACTACTTGGTGTGAACAAGTCATATTATCAGAGAAGAGAGGCAAATTTTGATACATAGGACATGAGTTCTTGCAGTCAATGAAATAAAATTCTCTGGATGTGTGTGTGGTAACTAACAGACTGAGTTGAACAAAAATTCCTCTCTTCTCTACAATAACTGATTGGGATTAGGGAGAGAAGGTCAGTAGCAGGTGCAATGCCAATCAGGTTTAAATACCACACAGATTGAAAAAAAGATTTAATGTTAAGCTGTTTAGTTAAAATTACACTCAGTATTTTGGAACGTATTATCCTAAAGAAGTAACACTATATGTATAGATAACACAACATTTTAAAAACAAAATGTTACTTCGTCACTTGTTGAAACCAATAAATGAATTTGTTTTCCTGAGAAACCACTTTGAAGATATCAATAAGTAATACAACAACCATGGTTAATTTCCTACAACTCTGTCTGTAACTCTGTTTTGTTTGTATTGTTCTTATGCTATTTTGTAAATGGATGTCTGTCTGTCAATATGTTTTCCTTCTTTTATTTTTTAAAATAAAAAACGAAACCACTAAATGATTATTATCTATTAAGATGTGTATTGTTTTTCTCAGTTGTGATACAAAAGCTGAGAAAATGGTTTCCAATGTTATCCACCTCTTGGTATTCATGACCTGAATTAGTTCTCTCTCCTGAAGTCTAGGTCAGACCAGGGATTCAGTTCTGATAAGTAGACTATTATAAAAGGGATTTCATGTCATTTCTGAGATTAGGTTACAAAGAGTTTGTCTTTCATCTGGTACTCCTTTGCTTTGATGAAAGTCATCTGCGTTGCTTGCTCTTTCCTGTGGAGACGCCTACCTGGCAAGAAATTTAGGGAGGCACCCAGACAAAAGCCAGGGAAAAAGTAAATATGTCTACAGTCACCTCAGTGAGCTCGGAAGTGGACGAACTCACAGTCAAATCTTGAGATTACTACAATCCTATCAAATATCTTGATGGTAGCCTTGTAAGTACTGAGCCAGAAGGAGGACCCAGTTAGGTGAAACACAGATTATCACCATTTTAAGCCTGTGAAAACTATAAATCTCTGAACTGCTTTATGTTGCTGAATTTCTGCTATTTTGTTATCCAAATATTGAAAACATAACGCATACCTGAATTTTTACTTTAGAATATTAGAATGAGTCATATCCATCAGTTTGTCAATAAGCAAAATGTACACTTTGTTTCTCTATCAAGTTAAATTTCTTAAAGAAATCATTATTCTTAGAACTCCCCACTACCTTTACTGTTATTATTCTTCTTAATAAAATCTTTTAATCTCATCATTCCTCTCACATTGCTCTTACCAAATTCATTAGTGATTACTGTGCCATTACATGCAAGGTAAACTTGGAAAACTTAATTCTTCAGAGTTATTGAATGTGTTGTTCATGTAACACGTAGATCTCTCTGGAGAGTGAAGAATATAACAGACTCATATGAAAATATATAATACAATTTTAATAGTAATATAGTGCATAAAAAATAAAGCTGAGTAAAGGGATAGAGAACAACTGAAAGCAAAGAAGAGAGTTACAGGGCAGAATCTGACACATTTGATAGCTTCCACGGCAAACATTCCTTCCCTCAGCATCCAAGACACCGCATCTCTCTGGTTTTCCTGCTACCTCTCTGCTTACTGATGGCAGTCATCTGGAGGTTCTTCTGCCTAACATCCCTCTCCCACCGCTGGACGTCCAACCCAAGACTTTGATCATGGTAGGCAAGCCCTGGTCCTCTGAGCTAGATTGCTAGCTCCTTCTGCCTAACTTCAACTGTTCGAATTTCTCAGCTTTTTGACACTGAACTACTTCTCTTACTTTCAGTAATACACGTGGATGACCTTAACTGCTCTTCATGAATTCATGTATATTACATTAAAAACCTCTCAATTTTCCATGATCGTAGAATTCATACATGCAACCACTATCTTTCCTCCACTCTTCAGATGAGTATCTTCACAGGTTTCTCAAAATCAGTACGATCAAAATTAAAAGTAAATCTTGCTTGTCCTTTGGAAATTCTTATCTCAAAATGTTCCCGAAATTCAACTTCCTACAGAAGGCACTTACTTAGGAATGACAACTGTTTCTTCCTCTGACATCATTCACCCATACAAGCCATTCCCATGGCTGTTGTTTCTATTTCTTGGACATTACTCAAATCTCTTCTTTCTCTTTATCCCACCTGCCACCTCCCCACCTCAGCCTTCCATCAACTCTCTCCTGGACAGCTGCAAGTTACCTAACTTGGTTCCCACAACTTGTTCTCAAATTCAATCCATTCTCTAAGAAGAAGGCAAAATTCAGTAGCTGTAACGTGATTCTCATCTTCACGCCTTTACCCAAGTAGGCGAGGCTCTTGCTCATCCAGCTTCTCCCTACCTGAACTTCACCTCTCCCCAATGGCCCCCGACCCCAACTCTGCTCTAGCAACTGGTCTAGATTTAACCAGCTTGCCAGAGGAGAAGATAAGATTTCTTTACCTTCGTGTGGCCTCTGCTCTCTGGAAGCGAAAAGGGTCCTCCAAACCCGCTTGTCGCGCAGACAAAAAGCCCAGCATCGCGTTTCCTTACACCAGCTGGAGCAGTGGATGGTGCCATGACACTTTTAGAGGACAGGTTGTAATAACAGACTCTCCTATTGGCCAAGCCTTATTCCATGTGACCAATGGGAAGCGCGATGACTTTGAAGGCCGGAGGACGTAGGCGGGCCGGGCGCGGAGGGCGGGGTCGGCGCCTGACAGTTTCTCCTTCAACTGCCAGCCTCTGCGCTACTCCCGCCGGGAACAGAGCGCCAGCATGGGCTGGCCTCAGGGTTTGTTCCGCGCCCTGTGGAGGACGCTGTCAAAGGAGGTGAAGGAGCACGTGGGCACGGACCAGCTCGGGAATAAATACTACTATATCCCGCAGTACACGAACTGGAGAGG